GATGCTTTCACATTTAACTCTTATATTATGGTTGATTTTTTTAAATGTTTTATTATCTGATTGGATATATTATATTATATTATATTATATTATATTATATTATATTATATTATATTATATTATATTATATTATATTATATTAGACTACATTATATTAGACAAGATTATATTAGATTAGATTTAGACTATATTATTATATTATATTATATTATATTATATTATATTATATTATATTATATTATATCTTATTAGTATCAAGCCATCTAAAAGCTAAACAAATAATCTTTCCATTGATGTATGGCTTGTTATAATAGGATGATACTTGGCCTAGATAAAGCTGTTTAAAATATTTACTTTGAGGGTGTAAAATAAACTATATTAAGAAACTCACCTTTAAAGTTGCCGAAATGTAGTGCTTAGAAATGCCATACCAGGTTGGACCAGGTTGTTTGCAGGTTGCACTTTTGCCTTCAGAACTCCCTTAATCCTTTGCTCTATTGGATTGGATCTGGTGACTGTGGAGGCCATTTGAGTACAGTGAACTCATTGTCATATTTAAGAAATCAGAAGATGGGCACACTGTGCAACAATACCCATGCAACAATACCCATGTTAGATGTGGTGTTGACACGATGCTCATTTGGCATTAATGGCCACCAAAGTGTGTCAAGATAATATCCCCCACACTAATACACCACCACCACCAGCCTGAACCGTTGATACAAGGCAGGATGAATTCATGATGACGCTAAGTTCTAACCCTACCATCTGAATGTCGCAGCAGAAATTGAGACTCATCAGACCAGGCAACATTTTTCCGTTCTTCTATTGTCCAATTTTGGTTTTCAAATTGTAGCTTCAGTTTCCTGTTCTTAGCTGACAGGAGTGGCACTCAATAATAATAATAAAAATAATAATAATTCCTTACATTCATATAGCGCTTTTCTGGGCACTCAAAGCACTTTAAACAATGGGGGGAATCTCCTCACACACAAGCTGATTGGTGGAGAGGAGACAGAGTGATGATATGCCAATTATGATACGAGGAGGTTTAGGAGGCCATGATGGACAGTGGGCAGATTTGGCCGGGATGCCGGGGTTAAACCCCTATTCTTTTTCGAAGGACATCCTGAGATTTTTAACAACCACAGAGAGTCGGGACCTCGGTTTAACGTCTCATCCGAAAGATGGCACTCAGTGAGCAGTATAGGGTCCCCGTCACTATACCACAGGTAGACCACAGGTTAGTGTGGTCACACTCAGTGTGGTCTCCTGCTGTTGTAACCCATCAGTCTCAAGGTTGGACGTGTTGTGCGTTCATAGATGCTCTTCTGCATACCTCGGTTGTAACAAGTGGTTATTTGAGATGCTGTTGCCTTTCTATCAGCTCGGCCCAGTCTGGCTATTCTCCTCTGACCTTTGGCATCAACAGCATTTGTGCCCACAGAACTGCCGCTCTCTGGATATTTTTATAATTTTTGGACCATTCTTTGTAAACCCTAGTGATAGTCGTGCGTGAAAATCCCAGTCAATCAGCAGTTTTTGAAATACTCAAACAACCCCATCTGGCACCAACAACCATGCCATGTTCAAAGCTAACTTAAATCAACTTAAATCACCTTTCTTTCCCATTCTGATGCTCTTTTTAAACTGCAGCAGATCGTCTTAACCATCTCTACATGCCTAAATGCATTGAGTTGCTGCCATGTGATTGGCTGATTAGAAATTTGTGTTAACCAGCAGTTGTGCCTAATAAAGTAGCAGCTGAGTGGATGTGCATAAATAGAGTATACACACATATATCTGTGTGTATCGATGGATGGATAGATAGAGATAGATACTCGCAGCTTTAACCTATTATATGAAACGGTAGCCTACATCATGATTGTGTGTAAAGCTGTTTAACCGCGCAGACAAGGGGGAAAAAAGTAATAGATGGTAATTTACTTTCTGATGGAGTAGCTCGACACTGACCCCACTGAACAAGAGAGATTTTACAAGCTCTGTCAAATCACTTTGCTTAAAGTCAAGTGCGTTTCTGATTGTTTTCCAAATGCTTGTCGACAGTGAATAAAGGGCAGAGATTTTTCCCCCTCTTTGAGCATCACATTCGACTCTTTGATTTGAATGAGATGGCAGTGTTGTGCACTTCATCCAGGCTTCAGTGACGAAGTGTTCTCCATTTCACAAGAACAGGGAAAGATGAGAGACAATAACATCAAGAGGAAGTGAGTTCATATACAGCGTTTTATCTGCCCTTTGAGTCTCACAGCAAGCGATGGCTGTTATATCTGGTGTTTGCAAAGGTCAAAAGGCATCATAGGCGGTATGTTTAGCAGTGGATGAAGCTTGTCAAAGTACAGCTCTCATAAGAGCCCTGAAGGGACATAGAAGCAAGAGACTTCCCAGAAATGCTCTGATGTGGTCGTATGAGTTCCGCAGTGCTTCTCTGTTAGACAAATGAGATTTCTTATATAATTCAGCCTCTATTTATTGTTATACACTTGTAGTGATCCCCATACTACACTACTTCCTGAATATTGCAGAAAGCAGATGAAGGATCGTGCTTGGTAAAACAGAAATCAGTACTTACCCTCATCCTCTAGTCCATGTGAGTTTGGAATAGCCTGAGGCATGAACTAAAAAATGAACAACCCTTGTGCATAATAAGCAGACAACATCCATGCAAAAATGACAGTGCTTGCAACAACAATCGCAGAAGCCACAGTACATGTTAGTCTAACGAGAATTTACTTTCAGAATTTTGTCGATTTTCTTCTAAACCGCAAACATCAGAAAGGCTTGCTCTGCATCAATTGAAATGATACTGAGATGACATTTGAGCTGCAAGATAATGCTTGCTCCACTTTAAAGAACTACAGAAGAAGATGAGTGTTTACAAATGGGCTGCAATTTGACACTATTTTTTACACTGAAGTGGAGACTTAGTGAGGAAAAGCTGGAACTTGAATGCTAAAATGAGATGTCAACAACACATCCTTCTTGCAATTCTTGCTGCAATTTGCATTGCCTATTACCTTTCTAAATGTATTTTGTAGAAAACTGAAATGGAACAAGAGTAAGTACCTTATAAACTGAATGAATAATGAATTCAGTATTTCCATCTCTTTCTATTTATGTTATTTAGTTAGTCAGTTGCACTTGCATTGTAAAAACAAAACGTAACAAGACTTGTACAGTATGCCATGTTCATCAGTAGGCCTAATTTAAATTAATTTAATTTGTACAAAAATGAAAAAGATGGAAGCTTAACTGCCAATTCAGGTAGGTTTACTCAATAGTTTGCTAAAGAAACCTTAGTTTTATTCATATCAAGCTGCTTATGTGGTAAACATTGATTATGCTATCTTGTTTGTTTATTTGTTTTACAGACTGATTTGTAATTTCAATTACGTGTAGTGTAGCAAACTCATACATAATTTGTGATTACCAAGGATGGGCAATATTTATCATACATGTATTTCAAATACATATTTTAAATATAAAATAGTATTTTGTAATTTGCATTTTTTAGGTTTGATAGAAAGGGGTTAATATTTTGTAATAACATACTTTAAGTTCTTTTGTGTAGTGTCTATTTTTGTATTTTTAAATACTGCAAAATACATTGTAAGAAGTCTACATGATGACATCATTAAAAATGTGGCCTTTAAAAGTGGTGTTTTCTCAGAGATCAGACTAGAAAATTGATTAATATTGAAAAAGTTGATCAGTGCTTGCTGTGTATGGATGGAAATTGTACATCCGATATAAAGAAAATAACAGACAAATAGCAGGGATAGAATTTGAAGCCAAAGACAGGAAAATAAGACAAACAACAAAAAGTCCTACAGTGGAGATACCTGCAAAACTTCATTGGCTGTTTCAAATGCCAGTAGCTGATCGGCAGCTGTTCTTTATACGTTTTTATTTATAAACTTTGGCATAGTTAATCTGTATAAAACAAAAATATTTAATAATACTCTAGCCTACAGACAGGTCAAAAACTTCCAACTCAGGTTTTATGGCAACAAAAACTGATATCAGGTTTTATATTGTGTATTGAAGACTACAATTGGTGGAGTACAATAAAAAAAAAACATGATTTATGGAAATGACTAAAAGTGGAGATTCTAGCATTGAAAATTTCAATTGCAAAAAAAACCCATTTTTATTTATTGATTTATTGACCAAATTATGTGAGCAAAAATTTTAAAATAAGCTTTTCCTATATCACCCTTTTAAAATATAAGACTGGTGGCAATTTTGACAATAGATAGAGCTATAGAGACTTAATGTATATAGTACCATATTCTAACTCATTTTACGCATTACATGGTTTCTTCACGACAGGATTTCCAATATGAAGTTTGTATAATATCTATTCTAAAATCAAAGAGAAACACAAATTGCATTTTTATGAATATGAATACCTCCTCAGGTGAATGAGGTGCAAATGGGATTGATCGAATAGGCCTGTTTATGGAATGTTTGCGATGAAACTTAATTCGCCCTTGGTAAAGTATTTTGAAGTATTTTCAAGATACATATTTTATTTTTGATAGGCTACATTGTGGCTGCTGTATTTTGCAGTTTATTTTGATACGTGTAAAATAGAGGTATTTTATTTATATGTATTAAATACATTTCACTCTATTTCTGCCCAACCCTGGTGATTACTATGGATAACCTAGATAGAATAAATTATTGCAATTTATTTAAAAACCCGAGCCACGGAGAACATAGCCTACAAGACCGTGACCGGAAGAGACGTACGCGACCTTTGTTTACACAAAAATAGGCTAAGTTAACTGCCTGCCTGCCTGCTACTTCAGTTTAGTTAATTCATTAACTAAAAACGAGCAATTCGGAACAGCAATTATTTGTAAAATTCAGCTCTTACAATACGACTAGTTCATGTTAGCTCAGACTGAAATAACGTAAACCTGATGCTGACTTCACCTGCTATCAAAAACATTTAACGTTACCATGTTAAGATGCGAACCCCTTGCGTTCAAGTTCTTGTTGGCTGAAAGGTCAATGGAGGACACTAAGTAAGTTAATCATTGCATTTTTAAAAACGGTTTGGTACTATTCTCATAAAAAATGTGTACATTTTCAAACACGTCATGATTTCATTGTAGTTACACATGTTTACGTAACACAATCATTGTTTCAAAACAAAAACATTATGAAATGAATTGAGAACATTTGGTTTAATTGCCAAAACCCAACCGTAAGACCCCTTTTCAACTTTTTTTCTTCAACTATATTATATTAATCATATTATATATATTTATATAACATAAATGTAATCAAAGAACCCACATAAAATCTGATAAATGGTTTATGACATGCAAGTTCATATGTAAATCTTTAATGTTGCATGGAGCTTGTATGTCATCATTCAATTTGCAATTTTTCAGTTTTCTATATGAAAACACATCAAGTTATTTACATACATGAGCAAAAGTATTTACTGTACTGAATTGTAATTTGACTTTATCTATATGGTAACTAATTGTGATCTAGTGGAAATAATCAGTAATTTGTATTTCTTGACTGAACGCACTTGATGCAATTTGTCTTTGTTACAAATTAAAGTTGAACAATAGAAAAATGTACCAAACTGAGTGTTAAGAAGTAGAAATCCAAAGTTTGATTGTAGCTCCAAGGCAGTTACTGTGAATGAAGTGCTTATTTTGTGATTATGTGATTGGACTAACACAATTGAAAATATGCTGAAATATTTTTTTAAGTTACACTTTTGTGGATCTGTTGTCATAGAAGTACCAATTTATTGTGAAAATCCTACTTGCACACACTTTTAAGTATAATGATTAATCAATATTTATAGTCTACTTGTTATCATAGGCGTACACTCGACCTATAGCACAAGTATAAAATGTACAGTTGAATTCAGAATTATTAGCACTCCTGAATCATTAGCTCCCTCTATATTTTTTTCCCCTATTTCTGTTTAAGGGATAGATTTTTTTTTCAACATATTTCTAAATATAATAGTTTAATAATTCATTTTTATGGTAAATAATATTTTACTTGATATTTTTAAGATACTAGTTTTCAGCTTAAAGTGCCATTTAAAGGTTTAACTAGGTTAATTAGACACGTTACGGTAATTAGTCATTATATAATGATTGTAAAAAAACATACATATTGCTTAGAAGGCTAGAAATATTGATCTTATTTTTTTATTATTAAAAACTGCTTTTATTCTTGCCAAAGTAAAACAAATAAGACTTTCTCTAGAGGACAAATTTGATCAGAAATACTGTGAAAATCTCCTTGCTCTGATAAACATATTTTGGGAAATATATTTAAAGAACAATAAGTTCCCAGGAGGGCTAATAATTTTGACTTCAACTCTAAATATGGTAAATGCAACATGAGAGGCTATTTATAATTATTAAGGAAGCCATAAAGACAGCTTATTTATAAATGCTGTAGGATTATTTATCATTGTTAGTTCAAATTAGCTGTGGCTAATGCTAATAGAGCCAGCTGTTTTTCCTATGACCGTATACCTGACTGCCAATTTAAATGTAGGACTAATCTAATGCATGGCTAGAGTTAGGCTTTTTTTAAACTTATGATTTAATTCACAGAAGGCTCACTGAATGTCCACATGGTGGCACTGCGTCTTCAAAGACAGTCAAGGATGCTTGCAGGCACAGATAATCATCATGCTTTGGTGAGTGTAACTCGTCCTGAAAAATGTGCTTTGCTTTTCAGTCTCCGCTCCGAGAAACCAGTCAAATCTGTGCCTCTAAGTGCATATCATTTTCAACCAGATGCTTTTGTCTAAAATCTGAGGCAAATTTCTCAGACGCTTTTCTTCTGATCTTGGCTTTTAACTGTCTTCGAGGACCAATGAGTGCTTTACTTTGATGTGAACTAACCTTTGTGCGTCGCCTCTACCAACTTCACAAGTCTCTTTTTGCATTATGAATGCAAGCATTTTTTTTTCTTTTTAATAGAAAAAATGGAGTGTCATGGTTAGCTTTTTGACTAATGAAAATCTAGCCACTCTGTGACTGGTGTGCTGTAATTCATGTTATGTCATTTCAAAAAGTTGGGAAAATTACATATAAAATAATCTGCTGTACATTTCGAGGGGTCCAGTTTAGAAAAGGTCATGATTAGAAGACTAATCTGATCTCTTAGCCCAGCCTTCCATTGCCAATGCATGTATATTCATATTTTTCCACAAGAGGGCATCTTTTTTAATGCTTGTTTGAATTAGAATATATTATTGCATTATTTATTGTATTATTATTCTATGTTTATCTTAAAAATATCTTTATAGCAATAATGATTTAGTTTGCAGACTTATTTCGACACCTGAATACTTTTTTATACAGAACCAGCAGCCACCCATCAGTATATAGAAAGTTATATTTTCTAGGGAACATTATATGTCTGTCCATCTGTTTGTCTATCTTTAGCTTTCAATTCAATCAAAACAGCTTTACTATATTGAGAAAAACTGAAATATCACATGGTCCTTAGTATTCAGACCCTTTGCTAGGTATTTAGTAAAAGCACCCTTTTGAGTCTTTTTGGGAAAGATGTAGTTTTTCACACCTGCATTTGGGGATGCTCTGCCATTCCTCCTTGCAGATACTCTCCAGTTATGTCAGGTTGGAGGGTAAAGGTTGGTGGACTTCCATTTTAGGTCTCTCCAGAGATGCTCAATTGGGTTTAAGTCAGGCTTTGGCTTTGCCATTCAAAAGCAGTTACAGAGATGTTGTGAAATCCACTCCATTATTTTAGCTGTGTGCTTAGGGTCATTGTCTTGTTTAAAGGTAGACTTTCAGCCCATTCTGAGGTCCTGAGCAGTATGGAGAAGGTTTCTTCCAGAATATCTCTATACTTGGCTACATTCGTCCTTCCCTCGATTGCAACCAGTCGTCCCTACAGCTGAAAAACACCCCCAAAGCATGATGCTGCCACCACCATGCTTCACTATTGGGACTGTATTGGACAGGTGATGAACAGTGCCTGGTTAGAACCACTTAGAATTAAGGCCAAAAAGTTTTATCTTGGTCTCGTCAGACCACAAAATCTTATTTCTCACCATTTTAGAGTTCTTTAGCTGATTATTAGTAAACTCCATGTGGGCTTTTATGTGTCTGGCCACTCTGCCGTAAAGTTCAAACCCGTGAAGCGCTGCAGTGATGGTTGAATTTCTACAAATTTCTCCCATCTCCTGACCGCATTTCTGGAGCTCAGCCACAATGATCTTCTTTACCTCTCTCAACAAGGATTTTCTGTCCCAATAGCTCCGTTTGGCCGGATGGAAACGGGTTTCATTTAAGGATTATGGAGGCCGCGGTGCTCTTAGGAACTTTGAGTGCAGCAGAATCTTTTTGTCACAATAAAGGTGTAGAACCCAGAGGTGGGACCAAGTCATTGTTTGACAAGTCACAAGTAAGTCTCAATTCATTGCCCTCAAGTCCCGAGTCAAGTCCCGAGTCAAGACAGGCAAGTCCCGAGTCAAGTCCCGAGTCAAAGGCAACAAGTCTCAAGTCAAGTCCAAAGTCCTGCAGTTTGATTTTCGAGTCTTTTCGAGTCTTTTTAACAGAAAAATAAAATATATACAGATTAGGTATGGTTGTAAGATCTGTATTAATTAAACAAACCTTTTTTTATTAAAGAACATTGCTCAGATATATAAAAATACAAATGCAATTTTCTGAAAAAGTACTGAACAGTGCTGCGTCTCGTCTCCACAGCATAATGCACAAGAACGAGTTCCACCAAAAAAAGACTCCATTTTGCCTCACATCACACAGAAATTGCAGGTCTCCTGCTGTCTAATTCATTAAGTTTAGTTGTGCTATATTATGTCTTCGGTGATCAACTTGTGATTAACCAAAATTACATAACCTCAATGTGGTAGCAGTAGACCAACTCCTGTATATGCTGCAAAGTTAAATTGAGTGAAATTGGAATTTTGTCAATTGAATCTCGTGTGTGCTAAAATGGTAGCACATATTGTTAATGAAGTAGGCTACTTTATACAAACAATAAAGTTGTTTTCTTCACATAACGTTGAAGAGCTTTGCTCTTTACCTTGTGTGATGCTCGTGCACGGATTTCCTCTGTTTGTGGACAAAACTGATTGCAAGTTCTCAAATTTTCTCTCGCTCTCAAATATGCACTGCTCACACACAAATTTTCTTGAGCGCTCTCAGAGATTATATGCAAACTCACAATTTGTGTCGTGTTCCCTCTTCCTTTCATGCTTTTTGATATGATTCATATTGCTGCACTGTTTAATAACAATAACCAAAATACTAAAATAGACTTACATATTAAATGTTTAATCTAATAAACCATAACATTTTTGGTTGTTTTATATGATGAGATATTTTCAGTTTCAAACACTTAAAGACAGAGAATAGACCAGTGGTGCCCCCCTGAAAATTTGCTTAAGGGGGGCCAGAAGAGGCCAGCTACGTCAGTGGCACCAATCAATCCACAATAATTTAGTGGCTGCTATTTATTTATTGAAATATTGCATTTTATTGCATTTATGTAAGTAGATTTAAATAAATAATGTCAACAGCAAAATCATATCGGGTTGGCCACAGGGGTGGCTAGAGTTTACACAGGGGTAACACCCCTTGTAAAGGGGTTTACACCACTATAAGGCACCCCTGGAATAGATGTTGGATGTAAAAAATACATTTTATTTTAAAAGCATTTAAACAAAAACTAATGCAAGCAGAAATGTAACTTTGATAAAAATAAGGAAACACTTGATAAGGTATTATAGCCTACTGTACTATTCACTCTTCAAATAAATCTCACTATCAATCTCATTTTATCATGGCAGCTAAAATAAAGTAAACTAGTGTTTGCTGGCTTCCACTTTGCTGATGAGATTGTGGAGGACATTTTCCATGTCATCCTCTTCATTTTGAGGAAAGCTGTTCCACAGGGCCCCTGAACACGTATATTGGCATGTACTGTGTTTTGAACAGTAGCCTACTACAGTAAAGAACTTCAATTGATCAGTTGTGGTAATACTATAGTTGCTATGGTAACACAAGTGTAATATAAACAAATTACCCAGTGCTGTATTATTTTACAATATAGGGTATTTTATACTACAAATCACTACACTTTACTGTAGTAAAACTACACTTTGTATTATTTTATCTGTTCACTATTGGTAATACTACTGTATTATGAAGCATTAATTAACAAGTCGTAAATAATACTAGCCTAAAACATAAGTATAATACAAGTATACAACAAGTATAATACTCAAAAACACTAGAATTTATTAAAGAATTTACCTTAACCTTTTAGTTTTTTGTGTATTGTTAATAAATAGTAAAGCAAGAAAGAAACCATATCAACATTCTTGGAATAACCCTTCGCTAAGCCTCGCCCTCCTTAGTTACTGTTGCTACGCCTGTCAAGCTTTCATGCCTGGCACATCTATTACAGTGTGTATGCGCTGGTGTCAGACATTCCCAAGGATTTAATTAGTCATTTTTGGCAAACAGGTGAGATATCTGAGAAAGCCAGACAAAAGAGGACTGCAGTAAACATTACAGGGGTATATTCACAACATAATAGCAACTGATTAGAAAATAATTTTATCAAAATTGAAGCAAGGTTAGCCTAGCCACCTCATACGCTGAACATTCAACAGCATAGTTCATGCACAGCAGGAGAGGTGAAATTATAAAATAATCTAATAACCTAAGAAACTGATGGATTGTGCCGAATATTAGCATCATTGACCCATAACAGTGTACAGTACCTATTACTGTCAGCATGTTTGTGTGCTCTTTATCCAGTTTTTATTCAAATTTGCAGTTAAGTGGAAGAAAAAAAATTGAAATGCACAATCATTAAAGTATAAATAACAGAAGTGAACAAATAGATTTTTCCTACCAGCAAATATTAGTGTATGTATTTATATGCGTTACAATAGCGAGGGTTTAAACTAAGCAGTGCTCACAGGGTTCAACGCTAAGGATTTTTTCTACTGGCCCGATCGGGCCAGTGGTTCTGATTTTTACTTGCCCTGCCCAAATTTTCACTGGCCCCACCAAAAAAAAAAAAAAAGAAGTTAATCGCTATTTGAATGTGCGTGTGTGTGTGTGTGTGTGTGTGTGCACCCCTGTTTATTTTTTTCCCCAATTTCTATTTAACAGAGAACAGATTTTCTCAGCACATTTCTAAACATAATAGTTTTAATAACTCATCTCTAATAACTGATTTATTTTATCTTTGTCATGATGGCTGTAAATAATATTTTACTAGATATTCTTCAAGACACTTCTATACAGCTTAAAGAGACATTTATAGGCTTAACTAGGGTAATTAGGTTAACTAGGCAGGTTAGGGTAATTAGGCTAGTTATTGTATAATGATGGTTTGTTCTGTAGACAGTCTGAAAAACAATTAGCTTAAGAGGCTAATAAATTTTACCTTAAAATGGTTAAAAAATGTTTTTATTCAAGCCAAAATAAAACAAATAAGATTTTGTTCAAAGGAAAAAATATTATCAGACAAAATATCAACATTTCTTTGCTTTGTTAAACATCATTTAGGAAATATTTTAAAAAGAAAAAACAAAAAACAAAAGGGGGCTAATAAATCTGTATATATATTTACGGTAATTTTTAAAATGTTTAAGGAAAACTATTCAGTTCATCAAGGCTATAT